ATAGTTGGTGTTATGTTTTGAAGTCAAGCGAGTTGTGGAACAAAAGTTGGAAAAGGTCATCACAAGTTCCATTTATAAATATGCTGAAAATTACGTCAAATGTAACTGCGTTTCTCTCCCAATATACTTGGAATCAATGGATGATCTACATATCAAATTGAAGATCTACGAGTCTAGTTTCCAACGCATTAAACCGTTTGTCGATACAATATTGGAGTAGATAGATATTTGCATTTTCGCGAGACAGCGCAGACTGGTAGGTGACAAGTAGGTGCATCACCTACTTGCCAAAATGAGAGAACTTAATTAAAAGCCCCAAAGTCGGCCAAGAGAGGTCTTTTAAGGGAATAAAAACTGAGTTATTTCATCTGTATTTCAGACCAAGAAAACCTAATTGAACCCCTGCAACTCCTCCCCCAAAATCCCACACAAACCCTAGGGTATTCCGTGTGTTACGACGCGATTCTAGTGCTGAAAAGTCCGGACAGCATGCTAGTTTCTCTTTCTCCTTCTTGTATCCGTGTTGAGGAACTTATTTTTGATGAAAAAGGACCAGGTTTCGTGGGTGATACTCAGTACAAGGTAAGTTTATGCTTCTCCTTCCATTATCTATGCGTTTGCGAGTTGTAACTCGATCGTAAAGAATAGACCTAGCTAGTTTCGGAAGAATGGTATGTTGTTTGATCTTGTGCAATGGTTGGCTGGTTGTGAACTTATTTTTAAGTTAAATTCATGGCTGGTTTATTGTATAAGAGGTGTAATGATGTACTTTTGGTTGTATTTCTCAATTTGAAAGAAAAGACAAGTCGAAACGTGTTTAAGTAAACCGAAAAATTATGTTTGAGTTGATGAACTTGTGGGACTGTTTTTGGGCTGTTTCGTGTTGGTATTGGGTTGTCTCTTTTACTACTGTTTTTATGGAGTTGAGAGGAGGAAGGGTGTGGAGAAACACCACATAATGGCAAGGTTGTTTGTTGGTCGTTCATCGTAACATTTTCGGATTGTTTGACACTATTATGGTTGTCGTGTTGTGTATGAAGCGATAGGTGTATGTTGGGCTGTTTGTGATTGTTTTGACTAGTGTGAAGTCATATATATAGGGGAGGTGCTGTCCGTTTTATTGTAAAATAGATTGTGGTTGATACATAATAGTTACGACGCTTAAACGATAACGAGAGTGTCATTTCTCTTATTGTAGACTAAGGAGCCGTGAAATTGCATAGCTTGAGGTTGGGAAGAATATACAAGGTATGTTAAGGCTCTTCCTTCATTCTTTTGGCATGATCTAAACTGAAACGAACATAAACGATACGCTATTTCATAATGAATCTACTCCTAGCAACTAAGGTTGTCCATGTTATTCTTTCCTTACAAAGTTATTCCAAGAAAGTATATATGATCCTTAAGTCCTAGTGAAGTTCATATTGATGGCATGATGTCCATAATGTTAATCGATGGTGCAATGACCTTATGTCACTCCAAAAGGTTTAGAACGTGACTCCATGAGTCCAGCATGCATTATATATGTATCTATTTTACTCTACCGAGTCGCGCTATAGTCGGCCGGGTATGGCACCTATTGTGCAATCACTGATCAGTTGGGTTTACCGAGCTCCACGTGGCCGGGTACGTTTTTACCGAGTCCTCTTTGAGGCCGGGTATGATATGATGATGATGATGCCCACAGAGGCGTATGTTTTTAAAAGTTTATGTATATATATGTATTATGCATTTCATGTCAGTAGCCCCCAGAGGCACTCAGATGTTACAGGTTGTATCTCCTCTATCTCTCTTTACATTACTGTTCTTATTTATGCTTTCCTGCCTTACATACTCGGTACTTTATTCGTACTGACGTCCCTTTTGCCTGGGGACGCTGCGTTTCATGCCCGCAGGTCCCGATAGACAGGTTGACATTCCTCCTAGTAGGCTATCAGCTCAGCGAAGGTGTTGGTGTACTCCACTTGCTCCGGAGTTGCCTATTTGGTCAGTATGCTTTGGATATGTATTGATTGGTATGGCAGGGCCCTGTCCCGACCTTTATGATATTAGGTACTCTTAGAGGCTTGTAGACAGATGTCAGGTGTATGGATATACTTGTATGGCCTTTTCGGCTTATGTTTTGAGTTTACAAATGGCCATGTCGACCTTATAGGCCCGTATGTCACATGTATAAGTTTGCATATCATGGTGGGTCGTCAGATGTTGAGTATTCCCCTATGTTTCATTCTTGTTATCTCATGACGAGTTTTCTAGCTCATTTACCATGATAGTATGATAAGAAAGATATGTTATGTTGGTACTCGGTTGAGTAAGGCACCGGGTGCTCGTCGCGGCCCATCCGGTTTGGGTCGTGACAAGAACGGATAGCATCGGCCATAAAAATCGGCCTCGATACTTGACGAGGTTCACTTACCCTCTCGTCTTCAATCGCTATCCCCTTGCCCGTTATCAACCGCCGCCTCTTTCTCTCTGGCGGCTCCTCACCTTCGGAAGTCTCCTCCGTAAGCCGTGGGGACGGTACTGAAGGAGTCGCTTCACTTGCAGACGCCGCCATAGGCGCAGCCTCCTGCTGAGGAACCTCTGGAGCGCCATCGCCGAACGAGCCGCAGGGTATCTCTTCGCCATCAGAGTCGGTCTCCGCCCTAGGCGAGGCAACAACGGCCTTCTTCTTCTTGGGGGCGCTCCGACCTGCCAACACGAGTAAGTTAGGAAATAGAATCTAAGGGAGTTTCCAAACCAAGGCCGAAGAATTACCTGGCGGGCCGTACTGTTGAAGAAATGCAGCCCAGGTACGACATTCCTCCGCATAAGGTATTAGTCTTTCCACCCATGATTTAATATCATCAATAAACTGGGTGGAGAAGCCCTCGCTACAAAAAAAAAAAAAGAAGAGAAAAGAATGAAATCACAGTGGCCAAATGGTCAAGGTTGCGAACAGTCATGAATCCTGCAAATAAAGGTACTCACGATCTGGGTTCCACCTTTCCGGGAATCCTTCAGGCTTAGACACCAGGTGCTCCGTCCTGATGTAGAAGTACCTACGCCAGAAGAGGCGGTTGGCCTTGTCGTCAGCCCTAACTACCAAACCCTTCGTACCACGGCTTTTCAATTGCAACATGGTACCCCTCAGGTAACCAGGGCTGAATAACTGTAAGAGATGGTGGACTCAGACGCCACACTCAGCCTTAGCCGCGTACGTGGTCAGAATCCTGCACACCTTCAAGGTGTAAGGAGTAAGCTGAGTCGGGCACACATTGTAAAAGCGGCAAAGCTCCTCCGCTAGAGGGAAGATCGGGAGACTATAGCCGATCAAAAACGGGTACTTGTAAAATGTGCAGTACCCAGGCCTGTGCACATTGGCGTAGTCCATCCCAGCCGGAGCCATTTCCACATGGTCCGGAATGTTGTGTGTCACTCGAAGGTCGTCTAGATGAGATTGCAGTAAATCGCTACGCTCCCAGGGAAGGACTGGACTTTTCGTTTGAAAATCCCTTCGAATATGCAGTCCTTTGGGAGGACGTTGTCTACAGAAAGGGGAACGAGGGTCTTTTTAACTTCCTCCCCCTCACCGCCAGAGGAAGGCGGAACCCTAGATGGGTCAGTGTCCTTGGTCTTTTTACCACCTTGACTACGTTTTACCATGATGATTCTGTTTGGGAAATAATGCACTAACGACGAGAAATATGACTTCAAAAGAAGTGGAGGAATCCCACACGAAATAACGGTTACAGGAAAGAAAGACAAAGGAGTAAATCAGAAAATGCTTTCCGAAGGTTTGAAAGTTGAATCGAATCGAACCTCTCTCCTATTTATAGGGATAAGTTGCGCAGAAATCGAAGAGTCATGATTCAAAACGTGCGCGGGAAACCAAAATGTCACATCATCCTCTGAACCGCCTCGGGGGCAAATATAATAATGACGTATACAGGCGATGACGTCATTCCAAAAAGAAAGCCACGCGTCAGTGGCTCAACAACGTCATACATTTTACCTCATTCATGTTGCCGCCCCTGGTCGAGGTCAAATTCTCCTAAGCCGAGGTTTGCATTTCCGCCCATTGAAGACGCCCACCGAATGCGTCTCCAACGAGCGGAGGGACTAACTGTATAGGGTCAAATTTGACCGTCAGCGTCTCTACGCCAATGGGTACGCCCAGTGAGTATACGCCAACTAACGTAAGGGTACGACTCGGACGTGGGGACAAAAGCGACATCGTTTAGGACTCAGTGTCTTCACTAGGAAAACGTTACCTATTTTTGTAACTTTTTGATTATTTCGAGGAAGGTCTCTTATTATATAAGGGAGACCTTCACATTGTAAAAAGGGGGATGATTCTGGAATAAGACAACTCTCTAATTTTCTCATACTCTCTCTCTATCGCTATCTCTAACGAATACTTTCTCTTGAGTTCATATTATCACTATTAGATCTACAACAACAACTTCATTTTTCATCTCTAGGTCTATTATATTTGATTACGATTTACCCTTTCTTACTTTTGATTGTTTTTAAGCTTGCAAAGTATATCGATAACTTTTGAGCCAAACAATGGTCCTTAAGAAACATTAATTAGAAGAAATTTTTGACTATTTTACCCTTATTTATACCTTAAGATGTAATCTATCTTTTATTGAATATTTGTTCTATTTATGTGCCATCTCCATCTTCAAAAATAATTACTACAAATAAGGGTAAAACGAGAAAAAAATAATTAATTTTTTCTTGAACTTCTAAAATGACAAATAATGTGAGACAACTATTTTTAGAAACCACATCAGATAATTTGAAACGGAGGGAGTATTTCTTAAACCACAAGAATAACACACACAACGGAACAGAACATGCTGCTAAAATTAAACTAATAGTAGTTGGTTTTGATGTACAACAATAAGAGGGAAATAGAGTTACATGTAACTGACACTTGGTTAAGAAAGAATTTGTATTTCGCCAGAAGTCAATTTCTTCTATCAATCGCTAATTCAAGTATGAAATACAATGTTTGTCTGCAATATCAGTATATGTCTATGGCCTAGAAAACAACATTTTCATCACTTTGCACAAAGGGAAGATTAGACTATCCCCTTGACTAACTTTGATGGAATAAATATGATACAACTTTAAGAAAAACAAATGTAAAATGTAATAACTTTAAAGAATTACATAAATCAAGAAGAACACATCAAAGTTAACTCCTTTTTCATGACAGGAAAGAAGTACCAGCATGGTTATGGTGCAAAAGATTATGAGCAATTGCATCCCTTGCAAGCCTAGCATTAGTCGATCTCAATTGAATCTCGGGAACCATCTCATCATCGATGAGCTCGAAATTGAGCTCTGGATCCATTTCCTCTTTCCTCATCTCGCATATATTATGCAACACGCAGCACGCCCCTAGCACGACTGGCAAATCTTGAAGTTTCACCTCTGTTCTCTTCTGCAGACAAGACCATCGCCTTTTCAACCTCACAAACGACTCCTTTGCAACCCTCTGAACCTCTCCAATCTTCTCATTGAAAGCATGCTGAGTCCAAGTCAGATGCTGCTGTGTATAAGGCACTAAAACCCAATCCATCAAAGGGTATCCAGAACTGCCAACAATCCAAACACCATTCAATAACCCTGTATTCGCCCTCTGGAAAAGGGCGGATTTTTCCAATACCTGATCATCAGGCATTGAACCAGGCCAACCAATACAAACATCCGTAAACACCCCCCTAGGATCAACTACGCCCTGGACGGTAATTGAATACGATGTCTTCTGATTCCTCTCTGTATGCCTCTTATTAAAATAAGCCGCGACACTAATCTTAGGAGCAATTATAGGTATATGAGTAGTATACATTGATCCCACAACATTAGGGATCCCCGACATAGCCTCATACTCATCCTTTACATTCCTCATTTTCTCTTCATCAGGCCATTGAAGATACTTAGGCATCAACACAGTCCTAATCGCGGTACAAACCTCTAACACGAGCTTATGGCAGGTCGAAATACCCAATCCAAACCTCTTCGAAACCAACCTAAGAGGCTCCCCAGTGGCCAATCTCCATATACAAACCGCGACACGCTGCTTCACAGGCACAGCATCTCTTAACATAGTATTCTCTTTAGCAACCACAGAGCTCAATTCATTACATATCATCTCAAATGTATCTTTCCCCATTCGAAACGCCTTTTTAAACTCCTCTTCAGGGAAATCAGCACTGTTACATTGATCCCACCAAGCTTTTGATCTATTCTTCACCCATAACCGCCGTTGGGGCGCCCCTGCCCCTCCCTTTTCACTATTACTATTCCCTTTACTGCTCGAGACGATTTCATCCTCAGCAGCAGCAGCAGCAATGGCACAAGCAGCAGCTGAATTGCCTCGCCCTTTTCGTTTTCGAGCACCATCTAACTGTTCTAAATCATTTTGATGCTGCTGAACGTTTGAATAATAATCCCACATGACCTTAGTTGTTTTCTTGTGATTCGCCTCGAATAAGAGCTTATTTTCTTCCTCTTCCTTAACAAATTCCTCTTTTTCCGACTTTTCTTGCTCCTCAAGTAACAACAACGATGTTATTATCTCTTTCAGCTCCTTTGTTTTCACAGCTCCACCACCTTGATTTTCAAGCCCACCAAATTCATCATTTTCACCTCCACCACCACTAGTATTATTGTACAGATTGCTGGCGGGGGTTTCTGGAACAGTATCTTTTCTTCTTCTGCGACGCTTATTGGATGCGTTATCATTCATCTGAACGAGAGTTTTCTCGAGCAATTCACGGAAAAAGCTAGAATTTTCTGGGAAAGAAGGGAGTTGTTGCTTCATATATGGCAAAAAGGGAAAGCAGGCAAAGTGTTTGAAGAAATGTTTAAATGATAGTGTGAACGCATAGAGACTTCGGAATATACAAGAAAGATATAATAAATGAGGTTGAAAGATGGGACATGTATATATGTAGAAGAAAAAAGGGTGGAATTAATTAATGTAGAAAATAGAAGGATTTTCAAGAAAACGTGTGTGAATGGTATGAACGCGGCTTTGGATTTTTGGATTTGAAGGAAGTTTCGAGGGGGGAAGAAAGCAGATTTGTTTTTGTGGGGGTGGGGTT